TGCAGATGAAGACAGCAAATGTAGCAGCAGCCTCCACATTCACAAAGGAAAAAGCAAAATTCTCAAATGCAACACGGAAAACACCAACCCAATCACACTTGATGGCGAAACTCTGGAAGATGTGGAAACATTCAAGTACCTGGGGAGCATCGTTGATAAACAAGGAGGATCGGATGCAGATGTAAAGGCGAGGATTGGCGAAGCAAGGGCAGCATTTTTACAATTGAAGAACATATGGAACTCAAAACAACTCTCAACCAATTTCAAGGTCAGAATCTTTAATACGAACGTCAAGACAGTCCTACTGAAACGTGGAGAACTACTACGACTATCATCAGGAAGGTACAAGTATTTATAAACAGTTGTCTACGCAAAATACTCAACATCCATTGGCCGGATACTATCAGCAACAGCGTTTTATGGGAGAGGACAAACCAGCTTCCAGCTGAAGAGGAAATTAGGAAAAGACGTTGGAAGTGGATCGGACATACATTAAGGAAATCACCAATGTGCATCACGACTCAATCCCTAACTTGGAATCCGGAAGGGAAGCAGAAAAGAGGGAGATCAAAGAACACACTACGCCGGTAAATGGAAGCCGATATGAAAAGGATGAATAGCAACTGGAAAAGAAGGCTCATGACAGAGTTGGATGGAGAATGCTGGTGAGCGGCTTATGCTCCTCGACGAGGGGTAACAGGCGTAAGTAAGTAAGTAATATATTCAGTTAGCATCATGGTCTGAAACCAGCTAACTAACCACATAGAACTAGTAAACACTGGACAGTTTCTTCGTCTTAGTATGGTTCTTTTCAGGAAAGAATGCTTGGGATGAACCCCGTCATAGTATGATGCATTCTGGCTTTCACTATCAGTTTGTGATATGGTTAAGCCCAATTGCTAACAAAGCATTATTCTCATGAAGGAAACTGATATTTTAATGATCATCAATCACTGAACATATCAAACGTGTATAAATTACTTCCACAAAAGTAAACCCTTTCAGTATGATTAAGTGATAAGCGTAGATGACTGCAATTATTAAGTATTATGTTTAAAAATGAAAAATATCTGTTTCAGAGTCCACAGAAGTAATAAATTGGATGATCCTTCATAAATTATGACCTTAGATGTTTAAGATATTGCTAAGTAGTTTAACTACAAAATGATTCGCACAAACATAAATCCGGTAATCACCCAAATATGTTTAGATATATTCAAAGCCCCCAAATACCCTGGTACGGCCGAGAGTGGGGAGAGCCCGCACTCTCTCTCGAAATGCTCTCACACGACCACGCGTATACAACCTCTGCCAGAGATTTCCTACTCACTGCCTTCTCGTGGCCGGGGTGTTGTTTACGAAATCTAAAGGACGAAAAGCGAATATCCGGCACTTTAACCGAATTGGTGAACACGGAAAGTTCACCAAGGGGAGTTGAAAAACTCTGTTTCCAAACCAATAGTGCACATGGGTTCCAGTATTCTGAGGGAACAAATGGCGTATGAAACAATCGTTTGTGACCGGCTACCATGGGTCTACATCTCTTTGCGATGCTCCACTGCCTTGTGGGTCAGAACTTTAGATCAAAGGCTCCGGGTGTGGACCCTAAGTAAACCACGTGCTTCGGTCTGAGCACTACCTTACCCTCACACAATTAAATGAAATGACAAATTTTTGTGTGGCGTATATATAGATATATATATATATGGTGTCCTCTTGTACCAATATCTGTGTTCAAATAAATAAATAAGTACATTCCTTAACCAAACACAGTTTGAACAGTACAATTTAATTGCGAATGAAAGTTTGTGTACTAGTCATAATTATTATGATAGTTAACAATGATAATTGTCAGTAGGGACCAATGAAGTTTTTACTCAATTTTTGGATTAAGCATTAGCTGATTACACATAGCTTTACGACATGATATTTTGCCACAGTAATCCTTTTAGATGGGGAATCAGTATTCCAAATTCTCACACTAGTTTAGTTTGACTTCTAACTTACCCGGTTAAAGCTCTATTCATTTTGTGAGCAAACTAAATTTACAGTCAAGTTTAAATTACACTTAAATTATTTGTTTAACTAATATATAAAAAAACTTGTGCTGTTCAAATAGATCTTTTGTTAAAAAATAACACTACCTCCGTAATAAGCATTTCATTGGTTTCCATAACCTGAAGTAAATTCTCAAGGCCCCACTTGTTTGTTTACATACTTGTGAATATGAAAAATTTGCTTTCGCAGTTCACTATATTGTGCATCAAATCTTTATGTTGAAAAAACGGGTGTTGTTTATTGAACTGGATCCATTGTTTGGATGGAATACAAAGAACTCATGTTTTATAAGATATAAGCCCATATGCTGTGTAATTAACTATATATATATACTGTTGTAGTTAATGTTGATTGTCCGTGACATGTGCCACCCTTACTTCAATGTATAAAGGCACTGAATCCATTCCGCATAAAGAGTATTCTGTGTTAGAACAAAGAAACTATCCATAGCTATCTGATATTAAATATCTATCCTCTTGGTAAAAAAAACTTCAAAACACCAATCAAATATCTTCTGTATAGTTCAGGGATCAACTCCATTTGTCAACAAAAGCATGATCTGTTACGCTTACTGGCACCGAAAGATGAGGTGTAATGATTCACTAACCCATTTAATTGGTACCTCGATTTTTATTACAATTAAGGGAGATAGATGAGAGCACATTTGCTGAAAATTATAGTAACTTTTCGTGTGAAAATATTAAAAATGTCGAATGTTAATCAAAACTATGAATCGAAAAGTCCAAATCATTTGCCTCATCCTCATATTATAATTTAGCTCTGTAGGAACTCAACGACGTTTGTAATAATTATTTATCCTGCATTTTGTTCACGGACTCTAATTTCAATTTATTTTCATCATAGTATAATATCTACTGGTTATGTTACATTGAGTCAATTAGTAATCGGGCATATGATGAGTACATGTATTTGACCAAGAAATAGCTTCCATTTTTAAAAGACAAGATATACACCAATGATGACTTGATTTTCTAAGGGAATATATATATATATATATATATATATATATATATATAGGAATGAGTATATGTACGATTCGACTCAACTAGGTCAATAAATTCCCTCACTGTTTTTCACTCGAGCAGCCGGACGGGCTCAGTTATAGGGAACTTAAGTATGAGTATCAACTCCCGGACACTGCACGTAACATCTTACTTTCATGTTTTAAATCCCTTGACATTCAATTCTTATCCAAGCTAATGATTCTTGGCGTGCTGATCCACGAGTGATTATCGAGACAAATAAATTTTCACTGAATTTTACTCCACAAGATTAACTAATTAAACATAATTATCAACTTTATAAAAAATATAGATAAGTACTTGAGTGAGTTACTGTATTTAAAGAATAAAATTCCAAATATTTCATATGTCGAAAATTGAGCCTCCTAACTATACAATGCTGAAGTTAATAGGTCATATATGTTGACTAGATAGCCAGCTTGTCGGTGAAGTTTAGACAGGTTTATCTCAGTTTGAAATGAATGATTCTTATACTACACTGAAAATATTTAGTTGCACTAATCGACATTCATAGTTCTGAAAGATGAGAATATCATAGAAGTCACCATTTAAACACATCAGTATGCTAAAAAATCACATGGAAGTCGCATGTTCCGAGCAACATAAAATTGGGTACATTCACTCCACTGAGATGGGATTTTGTGTCGTGTTATCTTTATTCTTCAACGATCACGCAGAACAGAACCATGAAACTCGCGTACACTGACAGGAATGAGTTAGATGTTAGTTAAATTAACATAATAATATATCTTAGCACTGCTTGTAAAAGTAGGTGGTAAACTGGCACGAGCAATAAACATCATAGCCACGCCAGTCAGTAAAAAATCATTAACTTACCAACAGATTTACTATTTTTATTTATTACTTTACAACGAAGATGGGCATTACCTAATAGCATAAAAAGCTATGTATTTTGTAAACCTGTAAATGTCATGTTTTACAATTAAAAAGTAAGACAGAGAAATCATGCCTTGTATAATCAGCATCTGACAGACATACATAATCCAAGAAATTTTTGTAATTTATTCTTTCAAAGAGTATAACTTTATAATTCTATCTAATTACATGTCTGAACAAAATAATTATAATGAAAACAAACTTTTGGATGAGTAGACTTTTTCCTCTAGTGAATCAAAAATAAGAAGTAATCCAAATACATTAGTATAATAATGAAGAAGTTAGGACTTAAACATTCCAAAATGTGTACAACTCTTTTAATGTGGATAAAACACATAAAAGCGAAGACAAGGGGACTACAGCTTCGTTCTCCTTATCGTAAACATTAGTAAATGACTGTTGACAAAGATGGTAACAACAAATAGTTCACTGATATAATAAAAACGATAAACAATGAAACATACACCGAGAATTCTTTCTAAGTAGAAACATGGCTTTAACATATTCAAAATTATTTTTTTAAATATATTCATAAGAAAAATATTTCAATTTTAAACATATCATCACAATGATAAACAAGTATTTAAAAACAAATAATGTGACAAAGAATATAAAGTGCGGGAGTGAAGTATACAGAAACTTATATTTATATAATCAGAAATGAAAATGAAAGTTATGTAGCAAAGAGAAAGAAATAAGCATTTACACAGGACAGTGTGAAATGGTTCACTGGGAATGAAACTTCAGTCGGTAAATCTGTTCTTACGAATCGAGATATACACGCCTATAATTTCGTAAAAGCCAACGAGTGTTTGTTAAACAGTAATCAGTATCCCAACACTGAACATCATTAAAATATTGATACAGGTAAATGTCAATGAAAAAGTCAAAAAAATATGCCGTATATAGGTAAGGTAATATGCTGAAGGATTATAAATGAAAGATTAGTAGGTATATTTTAACCAACAGATAGATTAATTTCACGGTACTTGTTTAAAGTTTTCACAGATTTCGCTTATGAATTCCATTGCAGGGAAAGCCATTTATTTCTAATGATAAACTGTAACCATTGGACATTTTGCTTTTTGAGGGAGGACAATTTGCTTTCATCCCGTTTTTGATATAAAGTTCTTCATCTTTGGGTGGAAGTAGAAAATCGTTGCGTAGAAGTATGTAAAATAGAACTGGATTCAGCAGATTCATGATGAACATACTTGTCCCCAACAATACAGTATAAAAAGGTGTCATTTTTTCGGGATTCATATACATGCCGTATGAAATACGAAGCAGTGCGAAACCCCGAAAACCTGCAAATGTAGTTAGGTTCAGGACAGAATTGAATCGATAAGACATGTTCACTGAAGGAACTCTGTGCATTTGCATCAATTTACGGGTGTGAAGAAATATGCTGTTGATCTCAGCAAGTAGGGCGATAACTGTGTATGCTATGTACCGAACTGACAGTACATTATAAATAAAGGCACTCAGAACCTATAAAATAAATGTGTAATAAATTCACGAGTTTGAAATAACTGTTTGTGAATGTATAGCGGTGTGTGTACTATTACTTTTGCTGGAAAATTTGAATGAAATCAAGTTTGATCCGTAAGACTATTGATTATTATTCTGTACTGTGAACAAGAATGTAGGATTATTAGAATGTCATAGTTAAAATAGCGTCTAGTAGTTTTATCAAAACTCAATCTAAAAGCTGTAGTACTACCCCTTATTTCCTATAGATATGAACCAAATTGCAGTTATGCTTTAAGTTGCACGCCTTCAGATTACTTTAGTAGTTTTTATTTGTGGGGTAAGTGATATGTCAAGTTTTCATTCGATAAATTAAACAGCCTGAAAATAGGAAGCGTTGATTTTCACTAAGTAATATTTCTGTTCTGAAATGAATGTTTCTAGTCAGATGACACCGTAGGTTCTACAGCACAGGATCGAGCGGTTAATACTGACCCACAACATCATGCATACATCAAAGGCCACACATCAAAGTACAAGCTGGTGATATACCTGAGTACCTGCTAACGGAAATTACTTGTGCTTGTAAAATAGTTTTTTGAACACCCCATCGTCTTAGAGCAACAAGACGATAGATTTATTACCTCACAGCAACTAGTAATTCTGATTATCTCTTCCTTTTAGACTTGCCACTCTTTTATGCTGTTATTTGAGATTTACAAGAAAAACGATTTTAAAATGGATTATGCGGTTTTAACATAAAAGTCATTTGCCGGTAGTACCAGATGAGTCGTATTCACTGCATAGTTAGTATGACAACGAATGTGATACAATGACTACACATCAGTTCCAACTGTTTTAAGGTTAAATAACTTCCATTGATGGTTCTTATGATTTTGTTGTGTAGGCGCAAGAAAAGCAACAGGTAAGCAATAGCATGTATTTTAGTCTTTTTGAGATCCTACAGTGGTAGACAGGTCAGCTGGAATGTGATAATATTGGCTAAGTACTTCCATAAAAATAGTAAGCTTTTTCGGATATCCAGCGAAGTCATGCAATCACACCACATTGAACAGCCACAAACGGATAATGTATCAAGTTTGTAAAAATACGGCACGCACTCATGTTTAATAAAGCGAATCACCTGATTTGCAGAAATTCGGACATTCAGAACTGGAAGATTTGGTCTGAAACGTGGATTCAGGGAACCATTGGTAATCATAAACTAACTATACCAATTTTCAGTGAGAAGATGATAACAGGAGTAAAAACAAACCTGGTAGATAGAGAGTTGATTGCTAACAGGATGAATTCACTAAATGTTGACATGGAGGCTGACATTTCGGGGTCACCAGAACCATGGTATGACATTTCCTTTGGAGGACTGGCTTCTGCTGGTCCTTTACAACTCCCTGGTCGGGGTCCTATGGACGGTACAACAAAGTGGCTTGAGATGTCACTAGGCATGGCTTAGAATGGAAGCCAGTGGCGATCCTGCCGTAAAATACTTTAATTTTCTTCGTAAAAGTAAACGTAACTTCTTTAACCAAAAGAATTCTGTCTGGTTGTATTTATGCTAACTAGACTGTTTCTCCGATTATTATTATAATTTCACTCTCCTGTACTAGTTTTTGTTTGTTGTTGTCCGTCTTTTTATTATGTGCACTATACGTTCCCTATATTTTCACAGTCTCATTGTTATTGTGTGGCGCATTTGTACTTGGTGTCCCCTTGTACCAAGGTTTATGTCTTCAAATAAATAAATAGAGGACTATGATTAACGGACTGAAATCGTGTCACCACTCCCGTTTAAGTGAATATAACATCGAAGCCTAAGATACAGTTATTCCAGTGCGTTCACGTGACTTTTCCGTGAAATAAGGGGAGGTATTTCTTTCTAGAGTGTTTAACGGGAGGAAAATGTATTCCTACACCAAGATAAATCCCACTAGTGTTATAACGTGATTAGTTGACTAAATATAGGATTTTAATTTCCCAGAATTACAATCAGTGCTGGTTCATGAAAATAGACGGCTAGACAACCAAGATGAAAGTTGGAACCTAAATTTTGCACTTATTATTTAGCATCATAGTTCCTTAGCCACAGAGCTATGAAGTTACACACGGGAAAACTAAGCAATTCTCGACAGACTGAAAATTTATACTACTGTCCAAAGTTCCTAAAATTTGCTTACATTATAAGAACTTTAGGAAAAATACGTTTCAGACGACAAATTACAATTATTTGAATACTATTGGTCGAGCGATTTGAAATGGCTCGTATATATGAGTAATAGGGTCGTATATGAGAAATATCTAAGCACTTATATCTAAGTCAAGGAAACAACCTTGTGACCAATGAAAATCTGGACTAGATCTAGTGGAAATCAGCACCTTGGAAAACACAATACATTACTTTTAATACACTGTATTACTTACTGCAATGTGATGCAATGTCAATTCCCACATTTTGAACAATTGCCTCTGGGTGAACATATCCCAAAAATCATAAAGAAAGTAACCTAGGTAGTGTTAAATCTTAACGTCGTACAGTACCAGTAGAAACGGCCACTAAGTAATATGTAAAAGGCACGATATGGTCTACTGGATCATTCATCAACTCAGGATAATAATAAAAGCTGAAGAAAATTAAACCACATAGTTTTGACAAACCATAATAAATCCCATGTTCCAATCAAAACAGCATGCAACCAAGAAATCACCATATTGCGCCACTTCCATATGGCAAGTGAACCTTTGCAAACAACAGTCGTAGGGGGATTTACCCCTCGTAAAACATAATCTAACACACTGAAAAAAGTCATGGATAATGCGATGCAGATGGTGCCGCAACCGGGACTCGCAGATGGCAGGAATCCATGCCAGTACATTGGCGTTGTAAAGCTGTCGTGATCACTGATCACGCTTACTTGACCTTCGATTTATAATGTGAACGGATAATTTTGTACACCGATAAAATGTTCCAATGTCAGTATCGGTTTCAGTTTCGTGTGAACGAAAGGCTGCGTGATATGATTTTGCTCAATTTTCTGTCAGACATACCGAAAGGAGGAGCTTCATAATGGGTTGAAGTGAGGAATTCAAACCGTTCAAAAATAGCACAGGTATTCGGAGTTTGACAACGGCTTTATACGTAACACCTTTATAATCGAAGTATACCAACCCAGTCAAATCAGGACAAAGGACCATCAAAACTGTCAAGGGATAAGCGACTAATAATGAATTACCAGGACGCTGGTTGAATGTGAGCTGATTAGTCATGGAAATAATAGGAAAACATGACTTTTTAATGTTCTATCAGCTTGCATTGAAATAACTTTAACATATGATTGAGTTTCTCAGATGAGAAACGTTACATTTGCTGCAATAGTAATGATACTACAGTGGTAGGACGATAAGTTTATCGTCATTTGATGCTTTTGTTTGTACTGTCATTGGTTTTCTATTGACAGTCAGACAAAGCCGTTGATAATTTCTGTTTATAAGTGCCGAATTCCAGTTGTATCTGTATTTAACAGATTAATTGTGAATGCAGAAGTATAACCGTGAAGAGTAATCGTGATTTCATTGTGCGAAGCTATTGATCAACTTGCAAACGAGAATTTGAAAACCCGATGAATGCTGGTACAGTCCGTAAGGGTGGAAGACTATAGATCGAGTGCGACGGTGGCGTGATGAAGTCTCTGAAAGATGGTAAACTGAGAGTTCTACATGTTTGTTTGATAGGTGAACCGAAAAATATCGAAAAGAACATAAGAAGCCAAGAGTGTCACTGTGGACTCAATGAAAAATGATGTCAGTGTTGGGATACAGGTTACAATGTCGTTTACAGCTTTTAGAAGATTAACTCAACTGCGTAAAGTGATGATTCGGGTGAATGATAGTGTTTTCAGACTACCAATTGAACCGGACAGGTTTTAAATCGTGAAGTTATTGAACAGCTGAATGATGTACTGAAATCATCTGTTAGATAACAACCACGGGAAAACTACACCTCATAAAACAAAGTACGACTTTGAAGTTGGATAGTCACAGTAGCTCATATGTGTCATAATTTTACGGCAAAGTAACGTCAATCTTATGAACAATGACAGATGTGCAGAACGTTCGTCTGTGTATTATTAGTGCAACGATTGTATGTGTAAATACAAACATACGAAGACTATGGTGAGGTCTGTGGATCATTCCAGTAGTCATTTACATTAAAGATACCACCAGTACTGTAGTTTGATAACTATTAACCAGTAACACCTACAATCGGATAGTACCCCACTCACTTAGAATCAGAAGTCAGAAGTGAAGGGGTTGGAAGATATATTTGATGCGCTATCAATATATCGAGAAGCGCTTGATCTGATCTGGTTAATGATCGTAGGAGACGTTTCACGCGCTGTGATGTAACGTGATCTGGTGCGGATGCATGACCGAACCCCTTCAACTAAACAAGTCCACTAAAACTAATGTGGTCAGCATCCAATGTCGAGCACTTAAAAGCTATTGATTTTGGGGAATTATTTAAAGCTACAAGATATTTCCAGAACCCGCATTGCATGTAAATGAATCGAAAACGGAATTAAGAACAATTTCGTGTAATAAGGGATTCTAGCCATGGTTTAGTGTGTAGCGGTAAATAAACCCCGAAATTCAATAGCTCTGTAAGTGTTCGACATTGGATGCTGACCACATTAGTTTTAATGGACTCACCTAACCAAAGGCACTCGGTCATGCATCCGCACCAGATCACGAGTGAGAACACCGTGCTCAACTTCTACCGCTATCGCTATCCAGTTTACATCAGTCTTTTCTAAATATATTGACAATCTATCAAATATATCTTCAACCTCCTCACTTCTGTCTTTTGATTTCACCGGGTGGGCATGACTCAAATATAGAAGGTGTTGCTGGTAAATTGTTGTCAATCTAAAATGCTGTGGCATCATCAACCGTGCGAGACAACAGTTAATACAAAGCATATGGTAAAATTTTGATAAAATGGTTACCAGTGGTGCAAGTAAGGTTCGTAGGGCTCCGATGACGTCATCACTTCTTAAATGGCTGGTACAAAGAGCTTATTATCTAACGTTAAGCATCATATAACGTACGGTAACACGACGAAATATCCATTTAGTACACGGATTGCTTGTGTACAAACAGTACGTTTTCCTCCGCGTCGACTAACGAGTCATAATTTTACATGATTTCGACTAAAACTTGACGGCAATGACAGAATATATGACTACTCTGTGTGAAAGTAACTACGAAATGTTATCATGAAACTCGCCTAGGTTCCTCTCGCTTCAATTTAATGAGAATTTGAAGTAGACAGCAGTTGGAATTTGGATTATATGCGAGGTATTGTGGAATAAATTCTTGGATCAACACAGTGTTGTGGACTGAATTTGTTTAAGTTTAAAATTATTTGAAGCCAAATACGTAGCATTACCTAACGAACAGTATAATCGGGACCTAAGATCGCATGGAATATGTAGTTCTAAGCAACCGTAAATTTCTAGCATTCGCACTCTCTGCTGGTGCATGGAACTCTACAGTCGGAAATTAGGCACGTAGCAGTCAAATAAATAAAATACTAGTAGGTAGTTTGTGTCGGAAGATAGTTTATAGTGGTTAAGCAAAAAACAGTTAATTTTGTCTTGCTTATACAAGTGGATATGTTACGATAAGATCTGAAGAGGATCGATGAACTGTTCGACATCCGGTAACCCAACTACAGGATGATTTGGTTAGGGCTCAGTGACGTTTCACTGACCCTAAAGTCTCATAGTAAATTCCAAAGTTTTCCTAAAATATTGAGGTGAAGAAAGAAATACTGTTTACCCATTCATCAAACCTAGTTAAATGAAGCTACTTGAAACCAAATCGAAACTCCTCCAGAAGTGATCTATGAATTACTGACAAATGATTTATTTCAAAAACACTTCTGTCAAAGTGTGTATGAGATTTTAAGTTTTGAGGGCTTCGACACAGAAACGTCTTTCTATATCGACGGTTCAAACTGAAAAGCACTGAAACGTTAACATTTAACTTGCATCCATGTGATGATTAGGAGTATTTGTATTATAGTAAAAACTGGGAATCTCAGAAATAACGCAATTTAACCAAGAAGTACTAGATAAGCTCAAACGAACGTAATGTATTTGGAATCCAAAATCAAGTACAAAGGAATCATTAGTTCATATAAACATCACAATCGAACAATACTGGAAGCTACTTTTAAAGGAGTCACTCAGCATAACATCTAACACTTTAGGTGAGTTTACTTAGCCATTGGGAGTTACTTAAGTCCTAATAACAAACTTTTTCACTGATCTACTAAAAAAGGGATGTTCTAAAGGTAACTGATTCTTAGTTGGTTTTTTTGAATCATGAAATAACAGTATTTTGGGGGGTCACTATCTGGCCCAATCAGTGACTCTGGATAACGAAGATGCCTAACCTACCTCTGTTTTGTACACATGAATGCTTGAAAAAAAGCATACCATGCATTTTTAATAATTTTATCAATCAAGAAAAGACGGATGGTGGCTCTCTGTGAAATCCGAGACGTACGTTTTGTCTTGCTTGTCACTCGTCAACTGGATTCACATGCATCTCGGAGTCGACATCCACTCTAGGATGTGAACCAGTACTGTTCGCTTTAAACTCCAATTTGTTGTTTACTGCTACCCACTAACCATCTCTGATGAGAATTCTTGTGAATTAATGGCAATATCGCGTCTATTTTAATCACGATGTAAGGACTTAAGCACTAATGATTGAATTCAGATGACCAATATACACTGAATCTGTCAGTTGTTCGCATGAGGTGCACTTACATACTTACGATTTCACATTACAGTTCCGACTAAGCCAGCAGTAAAGTCGATTGGCCCAGACTTTTGAGTTTAAAGTTCTAAAAGCTTTGACAACAATACTGCTAGGAACTACACTGTAGAGGTTGGTAATGGTTTCAACCAAATACCTCAAAATTTATGCAGTGCCCAATGCTGACGAGTAAAATACTGATGACTTGTCGTGCAACAATAACCACTACGTCCCAACAGAGGGATACCATCACATAACTGGCCACGATTACTATACTTTCTAAGCGACCTTATTCAATTTATTTTATGTTGGACATATAGATCATAATTGTCATTCGGTTCACATCTAAACAAAATACCTTAAATCTGTCTTATATAATATCTTATTACAAGTACGAATAATGCTTAACACTGTATAGTGTTTGAAAAGGACACTCATCAAAAGAAGGCCAACTAATTCAACAGAGAATGCTAATATCAACGACCTGTTTATTGAAAGAACATGTACAGTTACTACCAATAAAATTTCTGTAGAACTGTAGGAACTTGAAGTCAATCACCACTCATGTGTTCACTAGTGAATAGCCTCAGTATGTAACTCCTGGCGTCCTGGTGAGAAGCTGTGACCAGTGGAGTATAATCCGTGTCGTATGAAGCAGATATTCATCTCAGGTAATAAATGAAGGGTTACGCAAGATCATGGGTTGATTGGAGTTAGACATTACCACCTCCCAAAGCCGACTCAGTGATCTATAGGCTAAGCTTTTACTTGCGAGACCAAAGTTTCTGGGTTAGGGTCTCGCGTTCGAGATCGTAGATGAGTACTATCATACTACGATGAAATGGTCGTCCAGTTCTTCCAGACTTATGACGATGATCTAGCTTACATCAACTCGTGATTTTAACAGTGAAAATACTAAAATCTCCACAAATCCCCATGCTATAAAAATATATTGATGATAAAAATCTCATACCAAATACAGTTAACCCTCCCGCCATCAGTGTTTAGTAGAAAAAGTACTCAAATAATGCAGCCAATTATTTAATTT